TTTGCTTTGAAAATCTTTTCAATCACATATCTTTGTGCCATCTCATTATTCATGACAACCTGCAAAAAGTGTTTTTAGAGTTTCTATACAGAGAAAAAGGAAAAATGAATTGTTGATATTTAATTATATATTTAAAATATTGATTATTAACATGTATGTTTCTGGGAGTTAGTGTTTATATTTTAAAATTGATAGAAAGAAATGTGTATAAATGTGTTAGTGGCAGTAGATATTTCCTGGTGGGCCCCAAAGTGATGGTCTATCACTTTAGAAATAACAAATAAAAGTAAAAACTGAAAAGAAAGAAAAATATTGCATAGATTCTGGGAAGATTTAAATAAGTCATCTTTTATGCTATAATTTCTTTCGGTAGATAATAGATATCCTCAATTCCATGTTTGGTAAGTTTTTTTTGTTTTTTTTCATTTTGAAGGATATTTTTTAATTTTGTTTTGGTTAGTATGCTAAAAGCGGGTCCTTTTGACTGCGCCCTTTTATAAGTTTTCCTGCTAGAAATTTTTAACCCAGTCTGCCACTGGTTAGCGATTGTACGTATTGCTGGATTTCTAGACATAACAAGTTAATTTGAAAGATGTCATATATAATAGATTGAAAGTTTTTCAGAAACTTACAAAAAAAAAAAAAAAATGTATCTGAGAACTACATAAAAAAAGGCAGGAAAAAATCCTTGGCAGCTGTAATCTTAATTCCCCAAACACTTTCTTATCTAGCAATTATCCTCATTAGTACAAAGCCTACAAAAAGCTTTTTTTTTACCCTACCAATGTGAGGCGCTCAAATGTAAAGAGTCTCCATTTGTAGTAATTAACTGTAGAGTTTGAATTGTGTGTAACTTAGACTGCCATAGTAAGGAGCATAGATAAGTGTGAAGTTGCTTTGAAATTAACCAGCTTTTTCTTTGAAAATGTATTTGTTTGTCCTGAAGTACATTTATGAGCCAGACACCCACCCACCCACACATACACACCTCATAAGCCTAGATAAGTGTAATATTTATAGAGCTCATGATAAATAACAAAATTACTGTTAAGCTAATCACTCTATTAATGTAGTTACTTTAGAAATTATATCAAAATTGATTGCATAAAACACTTAGAGGAAACTCTTTCCTTGCATCAAAATAAAAGGTTATCACAGAGATATTTCCAGTGATCAAAGTCAATATTAGATAAAAAGAAATTCTCTCAAATATTTGTTTATTTTTCTGCTTTAAAACTGATTTATGAAAACTGACTATTATTTTGTACTGTTATAAAAATTAAACAATTTACAGCAGCTGAAAGAAAAGAACAATAATAAAAGTGATGGAAATTCCTAAGTGATGCTGGCTGGTATGAAACTTTGCTTGTAAATATGATTTGGATTTTATTTCATTAAAACACTTATTTTTTAGAATTGTTGCTTTTGTTTAATTTGTAACTTTTAAAGAATAGCAAGTGTGTTTGGTAATAGACAGGCTTATTCCAAATATACAAATTATCCCAGTCAAGTTTCACACAAATAAAAAATCTACAAAACACTTAACAGAAAACTATGGATAAGAACTTCAAAAATCTTTTTTTTTTTTTGTTGAGAGACCAAATATAGAAGAAAGGTTCACAGAGCAATAAAGAATGTTTTAATCTTTAATAACTTTGATTACCCAAGGCTCCACATAAACGAAAGTAATAAAATTTACACTTTCTGCATGTGTGTAATTGTAAATGGGTTAATATATATGCATGTATGCCTGTGTGAATTTTTTGTGTATCTGTATGTATGTATGTATGTATGTATGTATGTATGTATGTAAGGGATCATACGTGTAAGTAAATGCTTTTATTTATGTGTAATGTTTGTGTGTGTGTGTGTATATATATATATATATATATATATATATATATATATATATATAGGTGCATATGCGTTTGAGAGTTTTTCTTACATATATTTGTAAGTGTTTACATGATTGTATGCACATGTATGTTTACCATTTTTTGTCTGCAAGATAAGATTACTTTGATTACTATGAATATTATTTTTGTAAGCAAGTTCCATGGTTAAGCACCCAAAAATTACAAAATAAATACTGAGATATAGGGTTGTTTGTCTGTCTCTGTGTGTGTGTATATATATATATATATATATATATATATATATATACACACACAACAGGCAAATTTATCTTAGCTGACATGTTTTGTCCTCTGAGGGACTTTATCAAGGCAATTGCAAGGATTTTATTTATATACATGAAAAAAATGTTATTGATTTGTTTTTTTATATACATATATAAATGTATGTCCTACTAGTATTTATGAAAACTTGTTTTCGGAATGTATCTGGCGACTGAAGGTGTTAAGTTTAGTTTCCACAATATTATGTACACCCAGACAGATGGGGTTTCAATGGGTAGTTCTTTGGGTCCTATACTTGCTGATATTTTTGTAGTATTTCATGAGGAAGGTGCTGATATTTACCATGCTGCATGCACATCCATATATATTTAATAGTTTAATTTTTATTAATTAGGTTAAATAGTAACAGTGAGGTCTGAGTTCGTGATTTCAATGGTCAAAAATCAATCTCACAAGTCCAATGTCAGAAAATATTTTTTTGCATGAATTTTAATTTCTCTGGGAAAAAAATACCTATGTATAGTGTAACTGGTCAATGAAAATGCATGAGTTTTAAACTATTCAAAAACATTACCTGTGTATAGTGCAACCCCTCCTATTCTTTGCATCAAAAACTGATAATAGAAACTTGCACTACATTCATGTATAGATAGTACTTTCATATAAAATCAATTTGACTTGTAATCATTGATTTTCAATAGTTTTTCAGATATATTATTTTAATTGTACTAACATCACAAATTCAGAGTTTTTTTAAACAATTCAATCAGGACTTTGGGTATTGAAATCTGATAAGTGCTGATAGAGTTAAAAAAAAAAAAAAAAGAAGTTCAATAGGACAAGTGTGTGAAACAGGTGTTTATGTATTAGTCTATTACCCAAACCCAGGTATAAGATGAAGGGTCAATTTTGGAGGAATTATTAGGAAAAGAAAAGTACACCTTATATTACAGAAAATATAGTAATCACAATTTTTTTTTATTATTGGAAAAATATGTAAGATTTTTAAAAAATGAATATCAGGCTCTTACCAAAAAGTTCATTTAATGGGCATTAATCCATTTTATATCAAATTCAGTAAATTTAAGTACATACTGTAACAGTCCTACAAAAATTCCCTCAATTCAAATTCATTGATTAGAACTTTGTTATCCTCTTAAGTCATGATGCATTGACATCAAACTGTCATGCTTATCTCTTTCTACCTTTTTTTCTGATAAGAGCAATCATATCAATATATATGTTTTTTTCTCTAGCATTCTCTTCTTTGCTGCCATTTTGCTCCTGTTTTTTTTCTGCCATTGCATGTTTAACAATCAAACTGCAGAAATAGTTTAGACATGATTGAAAGAATCAGGTGACAGGAAACCAGAGTGCTTATTATTATTAATGTTTGTTTCAATGTTCTTTTGGCGTGTGAGAAACGTTTGCAGTGATTGGCTCGTTCTCACACAACATGGCTCAGGGCTGGACCCAGACATGTCTGGTTAGGAGGTGACAAGATTAAAATCCATGTACATATGAGAATACATACTGAGTTTACAGAAACAGTTTTTTAGTATTTGGGTTGACTTTTTTCTCTTCAAAAAGAGTTACTATTTGTATGTGGGTAATACGGTACAATACATATTTGTGTTCATATGAAGATATTTGATCATCTGCCTTATTTTTTTAACTTAATAATTAATTTTCTTAATTCTTTTGATTTTATTGAATATAATAAAATAAATGAAAAATGGTTACTTCTTTCTAGATAAGTTTAAAATTTAACTTTTATGATCACAATATATGAATCTTTTAGTTCTTTTTAAACAAAACAGTTACAAATTTACATGTACGTATGTGTAAAACCATGTGATTAAACTTTTTAAAATTAATTGTTTAAAGTTAAAAATACAAAGTTTTATTCAATTTTCTATTTCTTGATTTGAAGAAGTGACTGGATTTTAAATTTAAAGTTAACAGAAAAATGCTTTCTTTTCCACCAACAATAAACAGAATGATTTCAAATTTAGGAAACCACAAGCCAATGAATTTTGCTTTTGGAGTCAAGATAAGAGTCAACAAAGAAGGATCTCTAGATGAAGCCATCTACTGATATTTCTAGACTTTATCTAAGATTTCATTTTCCTCAAGTGTTACTGATTTTAATTTGTCATTTTATCAGTTTCCTAAGCAAAACAACCTTCCTGTTATTCAAAACGGATCTTCAGTTTTGACGTCTGCAATTAATACCAAAGATATCACAGGCATTTTGAAGGGTAGAAGAACTCTTTTCATATTCTAAATAATATTGTATCAATGGTTATCAAATATGAAAAAAATAAAATTAGGAAACAAAATAGTAGGTATTGGTATTTTTTTATCATGCATCCCAAGTACTCTAATAATGTCAACAGTACTAATATTGTTATTATTACTAGCATTAATAATTTTAATTTTCTTTTCTGGAAAAAAAAAGACATTTCAATTAATTCTTTCAAAAAAACTTACAAAGAAAGCCTAACTTTTTACTTATTATCACAACAAAAAAAAAATGATACTGAAAAAAACTCAATCTCTATCCATCTAATATTACATGAATAGATATGACTAAATGTTATCCTTTGCAATATTGATTGATTGTTTTGGTTTTTACGATGTATCAACCTCTTGCAGGTTATTTAAAGCCAGAAAACATTTTTAGATTGTGAGATTTTTTGGAGATAATAACAGTTTACTGAGTTCTAATAATCAATCCACAGCTCGTGGTGGGGGAGAGTATTTGTGTGTAAGTGAATATAACAAACCCAACTGAAATTGGAACTCAACTCTGATTTTAAATTTTGAGCCATTATCCATAACCCCATTCACACATCTAAGCTTACAGCACCTGGTATTCCCAAGCAGTCAACCATCTAGGTACTGAACAAGCATGATGTTGCTTAACTTTGGTGATTGTATGAGAACCAGTGTTTCAATATGATATGGCTGTAAGCCTTCCTTTATAATAACATGTGCACTTAGAAGTAATGAAGAAAAAGATATAATAATAATAGTAGTAGTTGTTGTTTGTTTGTTTTTATTTGCTTTGATTTTTGGTGTATACACATTTCTTTCCAGGTCCTGACCAGAGAACTAAGGTCAGAAATGGCATCATGACATTTTCCACTGAGCAGTTTGGAAAAATAAAAGAAGAAAATGCATATATTTTACTTAGATAAATCCCTTCATCAGGGTTTTCTTCTATGAGTCTATAGGAATTTTTTCCAATCAATCTGAGGGCTCCAACTACAACTGGAATTGTTAATATCCTCATGTGCCACATTTTTCAGATTTCAATTTCAAGGTCCTTGTATTTTGATAGTTTTTTGAAGATCTTCAATGATACATAGCAGTCTGCAGGGACTGCCATGTCAATAAGGACACACATTTGTCTTTGCAGTCTCTAATCACGATGTCAGGGCAATTAACTTTGATTGTTCTGACTGATTGTAAAGTCCCATAAAATTTTTACAGGTCCTATCTCTATAACCGGGTATGGGTGGTATTCATACCAATTTCTTGCAGTTTCCTTTCTGTAAGTGTTGCAGATTTTCCAGTGCAGATATTGGACCACTCTGTCATGCTATGTTTTATATTCAGTGGGTGCCAATACTGCACAACCTGATACAAGATGGTCAATCGTTTCTGGATATTTATCACAGAATCTACATTTTGAGCTAACATAATTTTTCAGTATGTGTGCTTGGTACTTTTTAGTTAGCAAGCATTGGTCCTGTCCAGCAAGAATAAAACCTTCAGTTTCAGCTTTTAATCCTGTACTACATAGCCACTGAGGTGTATGGGGGTTTGTCTACATTAGTTTGTTTGGTACAGGCAGGGTATTGACTGAAGCAGTTTATCTTGCCATCGTTTCTGTATCTGGTTGGTTGCATTTGCCTTTGCTTTAAGTATTTTGCAGCTTCAGTCAGTGCATTATGCTTTACTTGTATTTCTTCACCCACTTGAAACTCCATTTTGAACTTGATGGCTTCCTTTATTACTGAATAAAGCTGCTTATTACTTTCATGTTCTTTTACACAGATCATCATCCTGTCTTCTGTAGTTATTATTATTATTATTATTTAGTAGTAGTAGGAGGAGGAGGGGGTCAACTTTGGTACACAATCAATTTAATACAACACTCAGTAAAGACTGATCTCACTATCTATAATTTATAAGATTAGCACTCAACCAAGCACATCCATTTGCTGTTTAATTGTCACAACAGTAAATAATATTTTCAAAGTGATGTAATGGAATAACCTGTCACCCCCATGAGTGGCTACACTATATGTAGTAACTACCAATAAGTATCTGTAAGTCAACAGACTACAGGGTCTAGCTGGGATATATTGAGTATGACTCAGACTTACACGAGAACTACTGACCTTCCAATAGTAGCACTCACTACTGGATTGACTTGCAACGACTTTGTGCATAACTGTTACCTTTATTCATATTGTACTGTTTTTGTTTTACAATAAACCTTTGCTTATTTTATCCACCTTGTTTTCAAGTATATATTCCTATTAGTATGGAATATAACATCTACAAAATGCATATAAGTAAGTTTATCTGTCTAGTTGCTATATGTAACAAAATGGTTTCAAATTTGGTATACATTATTGAACTCAGGAGAAGGTTTTGACTTAAAACATTTTTTGTTCTTAGTGTGGGAAGGTCTTTTCCTAATTTAAATTGTAGAAATATCTCTTACAGGAACAATTAATAATTATAACTGTTCAGTGTAAGTCTATAATTTCTCTTTTATTTTAAATAGCCAGATAAGAAAAATATTTGTATGCTTTGTAAAAACAATTTCACTAAATTTTCCCCCACCAAATTATATTTTTTAATTTTCATAGTATACCATGAAGAAATATAATCAGTTTTGTTTTGTTTTAGTCTATTAATTTATATATATATATATATATATATATATATATTTTAAATTAAATTTTCAGTGAGCAGTGACCAACTATGACTGCCAGTTTCATACCTTTTTTATGCAATCATCAGGCAGTTGGTAACTGTTGTGTGTGAAAATAGGAATTTTATACCCCTAAGCAAGTCCAAGATTGTAAAAGTATAGCTGAAGCATGCATGTCATGCGCACATCATCTAACTTCACTGAGTGGGGAAGAAAAACGCTCTTCTGGCTTGGATAAAAAAAGCCATAAATTCACAATTATTAATAAAAAAAAAACAAAAAAAATAAATTCCAGAAATAGTTCATTGGTATGTAATTATATATATATATATATATATATATATATATATTGTGTATTTGGGTAGCAATCCCTCTTTTATGCAAGTTTCATTGAAAATGACTGACAAGGTGTGGGGTTCAGTTTTTAATATATAACTTCTCATGTGTCTGTATAATCTTTTTCATTTTAGGTCATAAATTATATAAAAATTGTCTAAATGTTTTCCAAGGGCTTTCAGCTACACTTTTAGCCATTATCAAGGATGAATTTTATTTTACTTTTAACTGAATATATGGATTGTTTGTCGATACATACATAAAACAATTCATATATTCACTTAAAAGTAACATAAAATTTATCTTTCTTTATCAAATCTTCCATATTTTTGTTTTTTCATGCCTTGAAATCAGAACACTACAATCACTTGACCGTATCCCTTTTGCATGTGAACACTATTCTTACTTTGTGAATGTTTTGCCTTATTTCTGTTGCTTTGCCTAGTTTTGACTTGATATAATATGGCTTATTTAGTATTATTTTGCTCTGTTCTTATTGTTTACAGGAAACTTTTTCAACTCTGTTAGTTGAGCATTTTTGCCAATTACACATAACCATGGGCAATTACTCCACAATATATATATATATATATATATGTATGAAGAAATATACTTTTAAGGTGTGCTATATTTATGGGATAAAGTGCTCAATTACAGAGATAGAGCGTGTGTAAATATAGAAGTGAACATTGAAGTCAACACTTAGATGCGACAGGCTGTTTCATGCTAGATGTACTCGTCAGGCCACGATTGTGTCTAGCATGAAACAGCCTGTTGCCTCTAAGTGTTGACTTTAATGTTCACTTATATATATATATATATATATATATATATATATATATATATATACACTCACACTCTGATGTGCCAAAAGTCATGGGACAGCTGTATGTAAAGTGTATAGGCAGGGGGAATCACTATATCTTGACATTATGGAAATACCCAAACCGCTATCAGTTGTGCACTGATATCTGGTGAGTCAATGTGAACATTGCTCATGGTAAAGGAATATGAATTATTGTTGCTTAAATAAAGCTTCATAGTACATGTCCTTGATCTATGGTGGCACCTGAGTACCAGGAATGCCTGACAGAAATCATTTCCATTCATTGTGGATAGTGCAGTGGCCAACAATGAGTCCTTTGCATAAGCAAGCATTAATTTAAGTAGTTAATGGATGTTAATCTGGCATTGTTTTTATTACTATAGACATTATTTTTGTGGCTATATGTATTTGAGTAGGTATCCTCATTTTTTTTTAAGCAGTGAAATTAATGTCTACAGGCCTAGACAACAGAAAGTTATATTTTCTTTGATAAGGCATTCTGTTGTTGCCTAGGCTGGTGGATATTTATTTCACTGTTTGAAAAAGAAAAAAAACACGAGTATCCACTAAAATAACATTAGTAGTAAAAAGAAATAAAAAAAATTAAACCAGCATATAAATATAGATGTAAAGTGTAATTGGGAATATCTGGCCTGAAGCTTAAAATATTACAAGTGATGAATTACTGATTTTTGCATCTTTGCAGATGTGTAGTCAAAGTACTACTGTACTGTACTGATGCGGCATTCACCCTGGGCGAATTGAGCCATCTTCTTCCTGTTATGAGAAGAAGATTCTTGGGATAAATTACAGAAGTAGGGTACCCAGGCCTACTCGGATAACGTTCTTGCTTGCCGCGGGGTTCCTACAGACGCAGAGACAGGAACGACCAGAAGCCGCCAGTTACCGATGCAGATGCTTCTTGGATTTTCACCAGAGCCCTTGTTAGCCGGCGTGTGTGTCAGACCTGTCCGCCTTGTAGTCAAAGTAGAGAAAATGTCTAATCATACTCTCTAATTGTAATTTGAATTTCCTTTAAATTTTATATTTTTCCTAATATTCTTATGAAAAATGGTTTTGCAAAACTTTGTTAAAAATAAATAACAATAGCAGTTTAATGTTTCCATAGCTATGTTTTGACAAAAACAAACTACCAATATAGTTTTATGCTTCATTGTATATAATTATTAAGTTTAATTTAACATGGTGGTGGAATACTTTATGAACTTCAAATTCACTTGCAATAGGACTAACATGCTAGCTATAACTATATGATAGATGCCCTTGTCCATTACTATTGTATAAAATATTCACTGCATCTTATGGAATGTATAAAATGGAATAGAACAATTAATCATGCATCAGCTCTCTGGTGGTTTCATTGTGGTTCAGAATTGAAAACTGTTAAACATACAAAGTTTTTAAATATTTAGCTGTTAGGGGTGGGGTCAAATTAGATATCATCATTCCCTTCCAAAATAGTTGAGAATGATGACTTGTGTTTTAATAAGGCAAACAAAAGGAAGAAATAGCAGGAATTGAAAGGTTTTATTATTATACTAGATAAAAGATGAAATTTGGGGAAATATATTTTTTGTATTTCTTCCTTTTGTTTGTCTTATTTTATTGAAAAAAGTGAGGATTGAACTCACTACTCAATGATCTGCAAGACTAGATTACTGAGCATTACCCTACAATGAGGTAATTTCATATTTAAATTTGCTTTCAAAAATTAAGCACTCTCATTTTTTATGATCACTCATCCTTTGCTAAATAAAAAAGATCCTTAATTCTTGGTATAATTACATTTGTTTCACAATAATTTCTCTCTAACAAAAAATGATGAAAATACATAAATA